CATGTCCCAGTGAGTGCCAGAGTGTTCCAGCGGTGTAAACTAACTGTTTGGAACTATGAATTGGTTGTTGCGTTTACTTGTAATTTTTTTATTTAATATACGAACATGAAAATAGAGAGAACTTTCTATTATGGACTTTTAACTTTAGTAAATTTAGAAGAAAATGTTGTACTTAACAAACAATTTTACCGAAATATATAAAGTGAAAACTACTTTTCTGATAAATGTGGGAAATGTTCCTGGATAAAGCAGCCAATCTCAAGACGCAGAATCATGGGAGAATGGGAGTTTAAAACAGAGAGCCTACGTCCCCACAACCCATTGCAGACAAGGACGTAGCCGCAGACGGGATGAGCGGGCGGCATCTGAGGGGCACGCAACGTCGTCTCCTGCCGCCGAGGGCCCAATAGGTTAGGGGCAACGCTGACGCTGTCTGGTAGGCCCACAACTCAACACAATGAATCACAGGAAGCAGAATAGTGAGAGTTTATGAGACCACAGACACCCAGGTGCCAACTTACATCTCAACGAAAGAATAACTGGACACCTCAGCTTATTTCAACTGATTATTAAACACTTACGCTACCTGGAGGTTAGGTTAGGTTAGGTTAGTATCGATTGTTCTTTTGAAAATTAAATCAGCTGGGGCTAATCTTCAGGTGATCCAATACTACCGCGTCCAATATCTCGAGACTGACATAAAGGGACGATTAACACCTGTGTGGCGGACCTCCGTGACCGTGACAATTTTCAGGTGATCTTTTTCTATGACTGTATGCATTACTATCATATCGTTATCCCTAATCTCCCAGACTCGACGTGTCCGAAACCTCTGATAACCAACTGACAAGTGGTTCAATAATGCCATGTGTTCACTTCTCATAAACTTTGTTCGTTTCTAAATAAGATAAAATACATAATGGTGTTTGTTTATGTTCTAGAAAGTATTCAAGATCCAGATACGGAAGCTCAGCCCCACCTGACCTTACCTTATGATTTAACACCCAAACCTAACCTAACCTAATTCCCCAGGTAATACTTAAGGTGTTTAATCATCAGGTGAAATTAGGTGGTTGATCTTCATGTGATCCGTAATTTTCCTCAAATTCTGATCAATAACTGAGACACGAGGAACAGTTACTACTAGGTTTTGCTTATCAAGAAACTGGAAGATAAGGTGTCGCTAACTCTGGTTGACACGCGGTGCATATTCAGTCATTTTGGGAAAATCTACCTAGTGATGACATCAGGTCTGTGTGTGTGTGTGGGGGCTATGGACGTGTGTGTGTGTGTGTGTGTGTGTGTGTTAGGCGAGTCTTTACAACACCACCTAATGAAATATTGATCTTCTGAGACTGTGAGAATTTGGATCTAATTAACACATGAATTTTATCAAGTTTATCTTTATGATATTTGTCTTATCTACATTACATGGAACCGCGGCTGGTATGGGGAGGCAGTTTGTTGATGGTGCTTCAGCGGGAGATAGTGTGGTGTGCCTGTCCTGCTGTGGCGCTGACTGACACCACACACACACACACACACCTATATACGTCAGAGAGACAGACAGACACACCTTGTTATTCAGGGAAGGACGAGGAGAAAATAATATTGGAACTATTCATTTGATAAAGAGGAATATAAGGAAGGTTTAGTGTATGTGTTCTGCTGTGAGTGATTCAGAGACACTGATATTTACTGTACTCTCGACACAGCCTTAAACGAGAAGGCTTTATGGAACTGTTTGTATAGCCAGCGAAGACGAAGAAGAAGGAAGAAGAAGTGTGATGTAAACATATATTACTAGTGACGTATATTTGATCGCGTTATACCCAACGTACGACCATTCGTATACGACTAATCCACGACCAGTATACGACTAATCCACGACCAGTATACGACTAACACAAGCTCCACAGACTAGGTAAGTTGTATCACGTAAGAAAATTAAGAAAAGAGAGAGAGACATAGAGAGAGAAAGAGAGAGAAGGGGGGGTGTACCAAAACAAACTGACTTCACATTGCACAAAAATTCTTATATTTTCCCCAAAGAGGCGTCACCTAACCTAACTTTACATAACCTGGCGATTACCTAACCTAACCTAACCTAGTGCTAACGAAACCTAACATAACTTAACCAAAGGCTAACTAACCTAACTAAACGCTAACTTAACGTAACCTAACGCTAACATACCATAGCCTCCTAACCTAATCTAATCTCACCGAACCTAACCTAACCTTTACATGAGTAAGAACCACATCATAAAAATATGTTTAAAGGACTTTAGTCTAGGCACGTCTATCAAAGATTAGATAGGGAACCTCTGATCTCTGACCACGGTACTGTACAGATTTCAATTTCATACAAACGTGAGGTTAGTGAAGAGTAATTTGATTAACACTGACGCATGTTCAGATGTATTCTAGAGCCAGTGTATTATTGCGTGTTCAACACTTGTCAACATTGTGTAACAGAGATATAACCGACCAGCCAATTGTGTGTATATTTATGCAGTGTTGCAGATGCCAGGAGTTTGGGATTCTTCAGACATGGTGTTGTAAGAACCATGGGTCAGCTCGGTGTTGGTCAGCCTACATGGTGTTGTAAGAACTATGGGTCAGCTCGGTGTTGGAGCCTACATGGTTTAAGAACCATGGGTCAGCTCGGTGTTGGTCAGCCTACATGGTGTTGTAGAACCATGGTCAGCTCGGTGTTGGTCAGCCTACATGGTGTTGTAAGAACCATGGGTAAGCTCGGTGTTGGTCAGCCTACATGGTGTTGTAAGAACCATGGGTCAGCTCGGTGTTGGTCAGCCTACATGGTGTTGTAAGAACCATGGTCAGCTCGGTGTTGGTCAGCCTACATGGTGTTGTAAGAACTATGGGTCAGCTCGGTGTTGGTCAGCCTACATGGTGTTGTAAGAACCATGGGTCAGCTCGGTGTTGGTCAGCCTGGTTATGGCCACCACCGCCAAATGTTCATATTAAAAGCATTATTGCCTTAAGTGTGATGGTTGATGTGTGAGGAAGAATAATATTTAATACTTATTTCTGTATCAAATGTAACGTGATTTACTTTACGAATGTTTTGAACCATTACCATATGTTGGAACCATTATATACACTAGTCTGTGCCACAACCTAACCTAATCTAATCTAACTTAACCTGTAGTATTGTATAAAGATCCATTATTATTAAACGTTCAGATGATCGGTGCAAAGACTAAGATTAATCTTTTGGACACTTGGTGCATCTTGTCCAGTAGTTCTGAGGTGTGATTTCCTGTATTTTCTACTGGGAATACTGTATGTCTGGTGAGATGTGTGTAGATGGTAGGGTTGTTTCTGACCGGCGGGCAGCGGCGGACTGGGTCAAAAATTTCTACCGGGACAACTTGTAAAGGGCCCACTCAAAGGGTCCAAAAGGGCCCTTAATCCCAAAACGTAGTCAGGAACCATCACTGGCTCCACCGAAATTTCCCGGTATGGTGGGCCAGTCCGCCACTGGCGGGCTAGTTACCTTATCCACAATCTTATCAGTACGAGAGCAATAACAACGCCCAGAGAATGGCGGGGTATCTGTGACACTCTTTTCACTTTACTTTTATCTTCTTCTCCACTGATCGGCTTGTAAGCGGTCGGTCACGTCTGTGTTACACATTGTTGGCAAGTACTGGACATGTACTGGCTCCTGAATGCATCTGTACCTGCTCCGTGTTGGTCAAGTCTGATCTTGAATGAACTCATATTCGGTGCCGTCACAACACACTCTGGCAGACTGCTAGATGTGTAGACTTATAGATGTGTGACACTTATAGGGAAAGTGTGTGGCACTTCTATTGAGTGTGACATTTCTAGAGAGTGCGGTACTTAGTGTATTGGGCATCTCTTGGTCTTGTGTTATAACTATAAAGGAGGTCGAATTATGTAAAATTACATGAAAACTTAGTCAGCACAAGCAATGAGCTGTGCCAGTGCTATCAGCCAGCATCGTTTGGTCCAGTTCGCACACAGATAAGATTGGTGTGTGTGTGTGTGTGTGTGTGTGACCAGAGAAGACTACCTCAGGTGTCCCCTCCTCAACAGGTCAACAAGATGGGTTCGTTCATGGGCCACGTGTTGCCAGGCCCGTTCTTCTGCCTCTTTCCGGTGTGGTGGATTTACAACATCTTCAGGAGGTTCCACCTGTGCCGGAGGACACTCACAGTAGGGGAGGGAGGCAGCTCCACCACCTACCGCAACACCTGCACCTTCACCTGCTCCTGCTGCCCCTCCCTCCCTAGAAGGTTTCATCAAGGTGGTTTCCGTCATCATCGGTATGACGGGTGAGCGTAAAAGCTGATGTACTTATTCATTTACTTAATCATCTATTTAATTATTCACTATTCAACTATCCTTATTTTAGAGTATCAAGCCTGTGTAACCTGATCTTCTTTTCGTTACGCCTTTCCATTCTAAATATAGGCTTCAATTCCATTTATCCTGATCTTCATTTGTTTGTATAACACTTTTCAGTACGATACCTCCTTATACAAAAACCCTATAATAATCAGAGTTTATTACGGCCTTTAAACACGGAGAGTTTGTCCACCTCGGCAACGCCCAACACATGACTATGTTCTTCTTCTTCGGCCTCAACGGCGCCGTGACATCCTGGCCCACTACCGCGCCTCCCACAAGACCTTGACTATATCACCGCCTGCCTCGCCTTCTGCATGGAGGGTTTACTGTTTCTCTACCACTGGCCACCCTATGGATGTACAGGTTAGTGAGTCTCTGTCCTCTACTGACTAGCCTTTTGATTCTTGTTTGACTTTATTTAATATCCATATAGGACTGAGAGATGTCACTTGCCTATATAAAGCTGAGAGGTGCCGTCACAATGAAACTGAGATACATTGTGTGTTTCTTCACAGATACATACATTGCTGTTGTATGTAATCAGTGGGCATAGTGTGCTGGAGATGTACCACAAGAGGAGCGTCCTTGCTGCCCTGGCCCGCACTTCCATTTCCCCCTTGCAGGTAAGTGACTGTTCCTCCTACTGACGCTCGTGAATAATCAGATTCATATTTTACTGTGCAGAACGCTGTGTTTGATATGTTGTTCTCTCTCATTTGTTTCTTCTGTCTTCCTTCCTGCCTGTCTCTCTGTCTCTACGTATCTGCCTCACCTCAGCCAACCATCTCATACCCCGTCTTTATCTCCTCCAGGGACGTGGTTCTCCAGGCGGGGTTCATTCTCTACCTCCTGTCGGCAAACACTGCAGAGGAGAACCACGACCAGATGATGCTCGTCACTCATCTTCTGCTGGCACAACGCCCTCGTCTTCATCGTCATGGCGCTTCTGCTTCCTCATCCACTTCCGGGAGGCCTTCACCCACCTCCGTGTACCATCAGCTTCATCCACTCACCTGCACCCAAAACCGCCAGCTGACTAAGCTTAACGCGGAGCAAGTGCAGCACATCATAGCGGATTCTGAGGAGGAGGACGTGTAGTGGAGGAGGAGGACGTGTAGTGGAGGAGGAGGACGTAGGAGGAGGAGGATGTAGTGGAGGAGGAGGACGTCTAGTGGAGGAGGACGTGTAGTGGAGGAGGACGTATATAGAAGAACGAGAGGCTATAAAAAAGTTATACGAAGGGATACATACATACAAAATTCGTAACTGATTTAGTCTGAATAAGTGTTTGTCGTGACGTCGTCGATTAATTCATTGTTATTTTTTTGCATAATTACATCATCTTGGTTATTATATTAATAACATAGGTTCTGTGCTGTTATTATCCTACTGTTGAATCTTAAGTGAAATAAATGTTGAGTTATTAAGGAGGAAGACAGTAATCCTTCAGTCTTTATGGGTGATTTACTGACAGAATAAAAACCCAAAATCCCACTTGACTAAAATCCCATCACTGAACTATTTCCACTGCAAAAATCTTAATCAACAAATCCTAATGGACAAATCTCGACAATCCCTACTGAATTACAATGGAGAAAACCTTAAAGGTTGTGTTTCATAATGTTGATACAGGAGTTTGTTCTACGAGTGTGTCATTGTTTGATGTTGTGATTACTGAATACAGGGTAATTTTTATATCAAATAAAGTTAATTTGTTTTTTTCGTTTATTTCGCAAACATAATTTAGTGATAGAGAGAGAGAGAGAGAGAGAGAGAGAGGAGGAGAGAGCTAGCTTGGAATATTCTCAGCCTCAGTGTCTAAAGTGTTGACTCACGAGAGAGTGGCCAAACAGTAACTCTAGACAAGGTGTTGGTAGATAGAAATATTGTCCTCGGTACCAAATTAAAGGAATTGATTTGGCGAAGATGAATCAGAGAATATGTGATGATTGTGAGTTTGTGAAGGATAATTATACTATGTTGTGGTTATTATTGCTGAGGTTAATATCAAGTGTTAGTAAAAGGAGGAAATCAGAGTACCTGGATAAACACCTCTGTTCTGAGCCACAGGGGGTAGAGCAATGGTTACCCCACCACCAACACCATCTCTCTCTCTTAAGATTATTGTACCTATGCTTAATTCCTTGATTTATTCTTGTTATGATGGATCTCTCTATATCTATTCTGAATCTGTCTGTCTGTCTGTCTGTCTGTCTGTCTGTCTTCTACCCAAGTTACCTTCTTATTGAGCGCGATACTAATTTCCATAAGCACACACACACACACACACACAGCCCCCCACACACACCCCACACACACACAGCCCCCCCACACACACACACACACACACCCCACACACACACAGCCCCCCACACACACCCCACACACACAGCCCCCCCACACACACACACACCCCACACACCACACACACAGCCCCCACACACACACACACCCCACACACACACACACACACACCCCACACACACCACACACACACACACACACAAGCCCCCCACACACCTCACCCCCCACACACACACACCACTAGAGCGAGGTACACGACAAGGGCGGGTTGGTAGAGCCGTGAGCTCCGCCTCCGCCTCATAAACCAGCCGAGGTTTCTTCTGCTTTTATCTACTGTGTGTGTGTGTGTTTGTCTGTGTTTTGATTTTTGTGTGTTTTATGTTTATGTTTTTTATTGTGTGTGTGTGTGTTTTTGTGTTTTTTTTGTGTGTGGTGAGGAGTGTGTGTGGGTGGGGGGGGTGAGGGTGTGTGTGTGTGTGTGTGTGTGTGTGTGTGTGTGTGTGTGTGTGTGTGTGTGTGTGTGTGTGTGGTGAAGGAGTGTGTGTGTGTGTGTGTGTGTGTGTGTGTGTAGGAAGTGAGGAGTGTGTGTGTGTGTGTGTGTGTGTGTATGTGTGTGTGTGTGTGTGTGACCAATAATTACGTGGCAATGTAATTATGGACGAGTTTTAAAACCAATTAAATAAAAGAAAAAAACGACAAACTCCTAGAACCGTAGAGAGAGATCGAGAGGAGAGAGATAGAGAGAGATAAACAGAGAGACATAGAGAAAAGAGAGAGATAGAAGAAGAGACGAGAGAGACACAAAGATGAGAGAAGAGAAGAGACATAAAGGAGAGAGAGACAGAGAGAAATGACAACAGACAGCTCATGTTCTTAGACGTAGGTAGGTTAGGGTTAGGTTAGGTTAGGTTAGGTTAGGTTAGTTAGTTAGGTTAGGTTAGGTTAGATTAGGTTAGGTTAGGTTAGGTTAGGTTAGGTTAGACTAAATCATCTTACAGTGGGTCGATACAAACTGATGATAAACGAGTGTTATGTATCTCTGAGCTGTATTAGACCAAAGAACATTACATAAAATAACTAAGGTTCACATATTGACCAATCAGAGACCATAGCCATCCTGTATATGAGGCAGCCGTCACAGTCATTATACCTACGTCAATTTGATGAGAGAGAGAGAGAGAGAGAGAGAGGTGACATAATAAGAATACTCCTAATTACACCAAAATGAATAAATCAGTGAAGTAGACACATGTAAACAGATAACATGGTCGTCTTGGTCACACATCAGCCAACGACAACACGACTATTGATGAAAATCCGTCTATACTCCCGTTAGTTGAGGGAGAAGTAGAAAATATTTTGTAGTGGTTTGAACTGTAGTCTTCCTCCTTCCTCTCGCGTCTTCTACTCTCCTACTTCCCTACCCTACCCCCACGGCACTCATTCCTCAGAATCTCTCAACCTATATCAAGGACAGAGGACGCCTATACAGTTCCTACGATAGAGTCTTAGTACGACATTGGGAAAGACTAACCTAACGTCTTCACCATTGAGAATCTACCTTTACGTCTTAAGTTTTAAATACGTTCTCGACATATTTACTTTGGTGTGAAAAATTCAACGTAAGAATATATATTATTTTTACCGTGTATTTACATTCTTATATCATCAGTTTGGAGGAATCTACCTTACGATCCTTTGAGATATCGAGTATCAGCGAGCAGTGAGTTAGGTACAGGTTCATACATCTTGTTGTTATGTGGGGTGAAATATTTAATGTAGGAGCCTTTGAGTACTGAGCCACTGAAGCATGACCTTCCCGCGCCTTAGGAGAGGAGGCAAAATTGCACAAAGGTGAGGGAGGGAAGGGGAGGGGAGGGGGGGAGGGAGGAGGAAGGGAAGGAGAGAGGGAGGAGGGAGGAAGAAATTCTTGACGACCTGGACGAAACTGCCTGAGTCCTCGTCGTGCCCCCAGACTTCCGGCAACGCCTTAGCTTATCTGTTTGCTCTTTCTGCTGTTCCTGCTTCTGCTGACTTTTTATGGCGTTTTCTGCATCTGTAGAGTCAAGCTTGTTGGTGCATTCATTTCTATCAACAGTGTTTTAATGGCGCTGGAGACCTATAATGCCCTTTGTGGCGTGTCTATGTCTGTCAACTGTCTCTTTATGGTGCTGGCGTTCCTGCTGATTGGCGGTCTTGTTATGGCGTCCCTGCCTTTATTCAGTCTTTAGTGGTGTTTCGGCTTTGGTTCCCTTAGTGGTGCTGTTATTCTTTATAATGGCGCTCCTGGTTATTAGTCTTCATGTTGTTAATATTAATGTTTATAATGCGTCCATATACTCCTGAACCCGTGGTGGTGTCTGAAAGCTTTGAAAAAACCTTGTTCACTTTCTTTTGATAAACAAATGACGGTCTATTACAATAAATTAGCCACTTGCGGAACAAATGGCGTACGGTAAGCGCAGTTGCTGTTGAATTACGTATTACTGGGGCCTATAGTCTCAATACCAATAAGGTTGATGTTACTTCTATTACCAGCGAGAGGATCGTTCTTATCCACAGGTGTTTGTAGCTCTGTTTTGCCCCTTACCCACCCGCTGGAGTGATGACGCCACAACATTACAATTTCATGAATTACCCACAACTTTGTTTACATTATCCACCTGATTTCTTCCTTCACGTACCAGATTCTTAAAAAGTTATACGGTAATGTTTTATCCTTTAACGAGAGATGTGATGACGTGTGTAATAGGTGTGCTTATGGTGGCTGTTAACTTGTTGCTGAGTGGTAAACTGTCTCTCACCTGAGTCTCAGTCTCTCTCACCTGTGTCTCTTTCTTACCCGAATCTCTGTCTTTCTCACTTATTTATCTGTCTCTCATCTGTCTCACCAGTATGTCTCAGGAGTGTGTCTCACCAATATGTCTCACCAGTGTGTCTCAGGCGTGTGTCTCACCCAAGGTGTCTCACCAGTATGTCTCACCAGTGTGTCTCAGGCGTGTGTCTCACCTAGTGTTTCATCAGTATGTCTCACCAGTGTGTCTCAGGTCGTGTCTCACCAGTGTGTCTCACCAGTGAATCTCAGGCGTGTCTCAGAGGGCCACTTAAGGCCAGGCAGCAGCGGGCCGAGCTGCCGCCAACACCACTATAGTCAATAGAATAAGGCCGCTTTCATTACCTCGATATTTGAGTTGGTAATTGAGTTCTGTCAATTTTCCCATAGTGGCGGAAGTTATGGCTGGTGGCGGCTGGTGGCGGCTGTCTGCTGGAGAGGAAGTAGGTGTAGGTGTGGGGGGGTAAGTGTGGGGGTAGGTGTAGGTGGGGGGAGGTGGTGTGTAGGTGGGGGTAGTGGTGGTGACAACTTATATGTGTGTCTCAGTCCTGTATATCTCACTTGTGTCTCACCTGTGTGTCTCAATCAATTATTTCACGTGTGTCTCACCTGTGTGTCTCAATTGTGAGTTTTACGAATTTCAAAATTGTTGTTGAGGTTAGTTACAGCAGCGTAAGGGATTGTCAGTACCGGCCAAAGTTCGTCTGGCGCATTTTGAAAGGAAACCAGTGTTCTTACAATAAAACAACGTCACTGCAGGCAAGAGGCAAGCAAACGGCCGTCTGGCGTAGTTTCGATAAACATTTCGCTGGGGAAAAGCTGCCAGGCGATGGTGATTGCTCGTGTTGGCGTTTGTTTTATGGGACGTCCTATATATAAAGTTGTTTACGTAATTCGCT